CAAGGGTATCCGGCCTCTTCAATTCAGGGAGGTGTAGTATCATATGCAAATAAGAATGACAACATAATTAGTGATCAGACGGTGAACAAAGCAGCATTAGTTAGCAAACCCATTTGCTAAACGTAATGTGGAGAACTGTGCTACGACTACTGCTTCCCAGAGAGAAAGACACAACATAAAAATGATGTTATTGAAGAATTTGCAAACAAAAAACCAACAAAAGTTACTTTGTAGAAAGTTGTAATTTCATTTCAGAAATAAAGATGGTCCGAATGTTTTACACTTTTTTCCTTATATATCGTTTTTGCTTTTTAACTGTTAAAGTGTAAGTGTGTTTGGTGTGTATATAAAGCATACTATATTTGACTATGTGAAAGTAACGTTATAAATGGGACATAAACTCTATTCTAACTTTAAGAATGAGTCACTGTGCAATATATATTTATTGTTGAGTCTGGGGGTAGCGAACTCAAGGGTCACCACAGGTGGTACACACTCTAGCTATGCCAATGCTTGGACCTAGTGAAATGCAAGTCCCATCAAATTCAACCAAAAAAGTAATAATCTTGTGGCAAGTGTGTTTACATCAGAAGCTCACCAGAGTGGATAGGTAATAGGATAATTATTTTATTGGAAACTTAAGAATAAAACAAACTGACTCAAGAGTTTAAAATAAAGATTTTTATTTAATTTCTTTTGAGTGATGAGTGAGTTGGAACTCAATACATTCTCATTGTATTGTGTTTATAAATCAACGATTTTTTTTATGTATGCACTGGCTGGGAATGTCTAGCGGCGTCTGAGCTCTTCTGAAAGATATTTAAATATGATGAAGAACAATAAATATCTCTTTAATATATAAGTATATGTAGATATATGTATAATTAATTATAGAACACTGAGATATGTTTAAAATTATTTGTATTATGCACATAATAACCCTTCATTCCTGACCACTGACAATCCCTTTCTTCCTCATTTTCAATTCATCCCTATAGTAAAATCATTAGCATTTCCATTATACATATAATAGCCCTATTCTATCAGTAATGCTTGCCTTCATTCCTGACCACTGACAATCCCTTTCTTTCTCATTTTCAATGTATTCCTATAGTAAAATCATTCGCAATGCATTTACATTATACATATAATAGCTCTGTATTTACATTAGTCGGACTATTGTCCTCATCTTTGTTGCCATATTTGTCATAACGTTTCGGCTGTTGTACGCTCCGGCCTTCTTCAGGTGGTTGGAATTTCGAACTGAACCCTTTATTTCGATCACTGTGGTAGACTGTTCTAGTTCCACGTGCCATGTTTGATGGATGTCAGTTATCAGTTATCTCCTGCTAATTTTCCCTCTGAAAGTTCTCCACTGCCTTAACCAGGAATTGAACTCACCTTCTTTGGGTCTGTCACTGGATCTAACCAACGCCTTTATCCACTGTGTCATGTGTCCTTGAGGACACCTGGGTATGAACTTCTGATTATTATAAACCTAATGTTTTCAGCATCATTTTTACCAGTGCTCATATTGCAATTTTTGTTGGTATCATTGCATGTCTTTACCAGAGTTCATATTGCAACTTTGTTATCATTGCTTTTCTCTGGCACTCCTTATTACTGGTCCCCATATTGTATTTATTTCTATGCTTGGTCGGCTCAGGAGATTTTTGTGGCCTAGCATATGTGCTGATTCATAAGTTTACGAATTTTCCAATGGTGTTCCTGTCTATGATTTCAACAGGATCCCACAGGGGCGGTGATCTCCTTCTCTCTCCATACGTGGTCAGCCGCCTGATTTTCTACTTCCCCTCTCGTTACAGCTTTCTGGTGTTCTTGAAGCCTTACCTTGAGGGGCGGCCTGTTTCTCCTTTATATTCCTTTCCGCAGCTGCACGGGATAGCGTACACACAGTCTTTAGTCATGTTCCTCTCTGTGGGGGTCTCACTCGTGAGAGATATCTGCGAAGTGTTGTCACGCTTTTGAAGGTTGTCCTGATGTTATATGGACCGCAGATCCTTTGTATTTTCTCTGATAACCCCTTCACAAAGGCAGGCAGACTGTTTTCTGAGTGTTGTTGTCCTCCTCTTGTACCCGCCTATCCCAGTTTTTTGGGGCTGCTGCCATGTACCCAGGGTAGTTGTTACGTTGTAGGGTACTACTTATACTGACCAATTCCTTATCTAACGTCTCTGGATCGCCACTTATGACATTTGCTCGGTGTTGTAAGCATCGGACGATCCCTTTCTTTACGCTGTATGGACGGTGGGAGTCGAAATTGAGGTACTGTCCGGTGAATGTCCAACAACACTCAGAAAACAAATGACAAATGACAAATATGGTGACAAAGATGAGGACAATAGTCCGACTAATGTAAATACTGTACATAATACCTCATCTCAGAAATATAGACATATAATAGCTCTATTCTATCAGTAAGGCTTGCATTCATTCCTGACCATTGACAATCCCTTTCTTCCTCATTTTCAATGTATTCCTATAGTAAAATCATTAGCAATGCATTTACATTATACATATAATAGCTCTATTTTATCAGTAATGCTTGCCTTCATTCCTGACCACTGACAATCCCTTTCTTCCTCATTTTCAATGGATTCCTATAGTAAAATCATTAGCAATGCATTTACATTATACATATAATAGCCCTATTCTATCAGTAATGCTTGCCTTCATTCCTGACCACTGACAATCAATTTCTTTCTGATTTTCAATGCATTCCTGCATTAAAAGCATTAGCAAATGCATTTATATTATAAAATTACGTAAAACAATACGCCATTTAGCGTCCTCCATAGTTTACCTTTCCTTACACAGTAAAATTTTAGAATATTTTACAATATTCTCTAATTCAAAATTTGAAAACCTTATTTTTTTTCTCCACGGCAGTTCTGAGTATAAATATAGGTCAGTAAATAAACTTCCCAAATTTGAATTGATAAATTTCGTCAAGGAACGAAATTCATTGGCATAAAAGATTTTCTTCTTGTCTTTTGTTTATATATACATGCGCAAATATGAAATATTTTGGGTGTAACGAATTTTTATTTATTAATCAGACATATTTTTAATTTATTGCTTAAATGTTATTTTTAATGCTTACTCATATTTAAGTAGATACTCTTTTTTATTTATTAAACTCATTTAATTATTAAACACGATATTTATTTATTTTCATCTACTCGACTGACTATTCGAGAAATCTTAATAGAAAAAGGTATGGCAAGATCCGAACCTGGGTCCCCTAGGGGACCTGTCATCGACGTGCATATAACCTTTCGGCCACGAAAATGCCGCTAGTCAAAGGGAATTCGAATTGTTCTTTGATTCACAGTTCATTTCTAATTATTCAAATAAATATCTCTGCTATGCTGCGTATCCTAACATAAGCAAAGACAATTTTTAGGAATTGATTTTCATTCATTAATCAGACATATATTGAATTTATTGCTGAAATGTTATTTTAATGGATACTCATATTTGAGTAGACGTTCATTTTATTTATTTATTAAAGAGTGAATTAATTTATTTCCATCTACCGACCTGAATATTCAAGAAAACATATTAGAAAAATATGTGCTCTCCGGCAGAGCATATACTCAACTATGGGTATCCATTAAAAATAATTTTTAAATAATGATTGGGTTTGGTCTGGTTTGTTTTATGGCATATCAATCTCAATGGGTTATTTAATGCCAACAAGATTTTTATTGCCAATAATATTTTTTCAAGTATATATATATATATACATATATATATACATATATATATATATATATATATATATATATATATATATATATATATATATATATATATAGATAGATAGATAGATAGATAGATAGATAGATAGAGTTTGGTTTGGTTTGGTTTGGTTTGTTTTACAGCATATCAACCTCAATGGGTTATTTATATCTGACAAGATTTTTATTGCTAGTAATATTTTTTCAAATATATATATATATATATATATATATATATATATAGATAGATAGATAAAGTTTGGTTTGGTTTGGTTTGTTTTACGGCATATCAGCCTCAATTGGTTATTTAAGGCCAACAAAATTTTTAGTGCTAGTAATATTTTTTTTCAAATAGATAGATAGATAGATAGATAGATAGATAGATAGATAGATAGAGTTTGGTTTGGTTTGGTTTGGTCTGATTTGTTTTACAGCATATCAACCTCAATGGGTTATTTCATGCCGGCAAGATTTTTATTGTTGGTAATATTTTTTTCAAAAAGTATTTTTGGTAATATTTTTTCCCAAAAATGCATTGCTGGTAATATTTTTTCCCAGAAATATATGACTGGTATTAATACTTATTTTTCCTCGTTTTGAACTATTTGCCCATAGTTGGGACCCTAACAAGTGCTACCACCCCAGGTCAGGGTGGACCTGGGAACACAAGCAATTAAGAGGGGGTTCCACGCTCCTCAAAACATCCCGATCAAAGATCTTAATGCTGGATATAGTCTATCGTCTTACCCAGGACACGTTTAAGGAATTAATTAACATATGAAATATGTATCAAAGTATTCACTAGATTTAAATGGAAATATATGTCTGAGTTGCCTATCTTCCTTTTAAAAAACGTGAGTCCTGAAAGGTTTTTATTACATCCGGGAACTTTTGCACACGTCTCATGCCTATAAAAAGACTGAATGACAATAAAAAAAAAAAGAAAACTAGTTGGTGTGTGAGTGTTTCGGCAGATTCGTTAGGGCTTGACTTTTCAATCGACAGACGACTGATGAAAACTCTTGTAAGGCAGACATTAAGCCTCCGCCAACAACCGGGGAGGCTGTGTTGTGTCGCCCGCTGCGTCAGCTGTCAAGGCGTAAGACCCTGCAGCAGCCAACTGCCTGACTCATCGGCCTGCACTGATGCAGGAGGACGACGAGCCAGAGAAAAGCTATGATTCATAGTCAAAGACTTGTTTATCACTCGTGGCAGTCGGCGCACAACATTTGGAAGATGGAAGACATCGAGTTCCTGTCTTCTAACAATTTTTATCAACCGCAACCATGCAATATCTCTCACTCACTCCAATGGCACACTCAAGTTTTCTCTTTCACGAATGTCATACCTAAAATATCTATCGCAGGTTGCTTCTATCTATCTATCTATCTATCTATCTATCTATCTATCTATCTATCTATATATATATATATATATATATATATATATATATCATTCATTATCTATCTATATTTATATATATGTATATATATATGTCTGTTCATTATTTATCTATCTATATATATAATTATCTGTTCATTATCTATATATATATATATATATATATATATATATATATATATATATATATATATATATATATGTGTGTGTGTGTGTGTGTGTGTGTGTGTGTGTGTGTGTGTGTGTTCAGTATCTATCTATCTATATCTATCTATATTTATGTGTCTGTTCATTATCTATCGCTATATATATATATATATATATATATATATATATATATATATATATATATGTCTGTTCATTATCTATCTATCTATATGTATATATATATATATATATATATATATTCATTATCTCTCTCTCTCTCTCTCTCTCTCTATATATATATATATATATATATATATATATATATATTCATTATCTATCGCTCTATCTCTATATATATGTGTGTGTCTGTTCATTATCTATCTATCAATCTATCTATCTATCTATCTATCTATCACAGTCTGTTCATATCTATCTATCTATCTATCTATCTATGTTCATTATCTATCTAACGTTCTTTATCTATCTATGTTCATTATCTATCTATCTATCTATCTATCTATCTATCTATCTATCTATCTATATATCCACTCGTATGGTGCTACACATTAATAGGATCATATTTTTAATGTATGAGAAATACAATGAAGATATTAGAAAGTTTTCATCAAAGCAATGCTGAGATCTACATGGATACTGAGGAAGGTGCTGCATATTTGAGGTGACTTACGACCTTCTAATAATCAGTGATAATCACCAAATAAATTCATATGTTGCTTGCTGTTCTTTCTTGATTTTTTCGCCTTTAATAAGTTCGAGAAGCCATACATTCCCCAAACCTTCTTTCCTCGTTCTCTATCTCTCTGTGTGCTTTAACTCTTCAGGAAGTGGGTAATCATGCCTCTCCACATCTTCCAGTCTTTTGTTGCTCTATATAAATTTTAACTTTTTATCATATGTCATTGTCTCTGTTTTGCCAGTCATTCATGTTTGACACTTTAAAATAAACCAAACTCTGTTAAAACGGTTCTTTGAAATAGAATTCGCGTTTGAAAAATAAATAAATAGCATCTTAATATTCTGTTAACTCGACCATATACCGGTTTCAAATTAAACGTCTACACCGGTTCAAGCCAACCTTTTCCAGTGCGCGAGATAAGGCTCATCATAAGGCTGGTTGCGCTACTAAAAAAAAGTTCAAAGTAATTCTTCGTTGAAGATGGCCAGGCATTTTTTTTTACTGCAGAAGACCATACGCGTCAGATTCTGTTTTAGAAATGGAGGGAAAGGTGATTTTTTTCTTTGGAGAAAATATTTTTTCTGTAATTAAAATATTAAAGTCTTCGTGTATTATTACGATTAACAAACCCCAATGCATATGATTTGTTTTTAATTAATTCCTTTGAAAATACGAAAATGTAATTGTTTTATGTTTCTTCTCCAGAAGGAAAAAAATGTTTTTGTTCCTAAAGCAAAAAAAATGTTTACAAGTATAATAATAATACCGAAAATTTTACAAAATTAAAAAGTGTAAATCTGAAGGACTGAACTCATGAAGAATGTGCAGCCCGGAGGAATGCTCCACTATGCTAGTTATTATAAAATGCTAAAAAAAAGCATAATCTTAATCATTATTATTTATCTGGTTAGTAAAAATCGCCAATAGTTTAAAATTCTGAAAATCTTCCCTTCGTTGAAACGTTACAAAATTCAAGAAACATTGTACCTACTTACTGATTATGTATGTTGTTTACAATGATATTCACCTTGTAGAAAGCCCAAGAGCCACTCGAGATAGAAGATTAAAGAGTAAGAGGAACCACCCCAAGCAAGATGCTAATACCACCAAGATGCAAGGGGCATGAAAGAGAAGGAAAAGAAGGAACAGGAAACTTAACCCTAAACAGGAAACAAGGGATAAACCTCTATTTCTGTTCAACAGACATGAGAAGAGTGTGAACCGGGCGATAGGATAACCTTTCTACACTTATTGAGGTGAAAATTTAATTAATCCTTTGAGCTGTGACCACCGCTTTACCGGTGGTAGAGAAAAATAACTTAATGACCAGCTACCGGTTGAACTGTGGGGAAACACTTGTAACTATTTTTATATCTACCGTGAAATATTACATACCAATTATTTGCGAATTTTGACTCAGGAGCTCAGACAGAATGGTTAAAATTGTTCAGGAACACAGGGCTAAAATAGTAAATAAAAGTTCAGAGATTTTAAATAAGTAATAAATAAAAATTCAGAATTTTAGACGGAGACGCTAGAAGTATTGAATTGAAGTAGACTTTAGAAGGAACCGGAAACCCAATCCTAAACAGAAAACGAGGGATAAAACGCTGCTCCTGTTCAAAAGACTGGATTGGAACGTGAACAAAGCGATAGATGAACCTATCGAGTCTTAGTGAGAAAAAATGTAAATATACAATAAAAGTGTTTATGTGGGAGACAATGCGAGTGAACAAGTGAGTATGAAATGAAACAAACAGGATTTTAATAAACGTATTTTCTTCATGAAACTAAGCGTACCATTTATAAAGCTGAACGGTCCGCAGTTGAACTATGATTGGCCTACACTCTGTCAACCAATAAAAGCAGCCTCATAATTTTTTTTACTCATATCACAACAATAACATAAAATAGGAAATAATTATATGATTTACTTAAGAACCCTTAAGATTTGCAATGGCGATGAATTCTGGTCGATCCTAGTAATTTCATATATAATGCTAAAAGAAAAGCATACAAAATCTATAAAACCAAAAAAAGAGAGATGAAGAATGCCAGAGCATGAAACTGACAGTAGTGCCTATGATTATTGAAGCACCTAAAATAACGCTGAAATCCAAAAAACAAAAGTCATCCACCCATTACTGAAAATGCAAATATTACTGAGTTGACTTGTTGTCACATATTCCTGCTTGACAATCATTTGATAATGCCGTGAAGATCATACAACAACAACAACAACAACAATAATAATAATAATAATCGATATGATTCTTTTTATCAGGACATTGAAAAGTTAGACATAATCACAAAGAATTAAGTTCGATTCTAAGAATTGGATCCATCTTTTTAGAAGTCTGTCTGCATTTGTCCTTTCGTTTTACTTCATTCTAGTTTATTTTTTTTTTTTTTAAGAAAAATGACCTTTTGCCTTCCTTAAATTTAATTACAACCCTTCGAAAGAACGCCATGGAATTTTCTTTCTTAGTTTAAGGAAGGAAAATGACATGAGGAAATGCCGAGAGTGCGACCCTGACCAACATCAGTTATATTTCAATATTAATAACATTAATGATGAGAAGAAGAAGAAGAAGAAGAAGAAGAAGAAGAAGAAGAAGAAGAGAACAAATGAGAAAAAAATGAATGTGTAGGAAAATGAAGAAATAGGGAGAGGTAATAAAAAGAAAAAGAAGAAATAGGAAGAAGAAAGAAAAAAGAAGAAAAAGAAGAAGGCAAAATATGGAGGAAAAGTGAAGAAAGAGAGAGGAATAGGCAAGAAAAGGAAGGAAAAGGGAAGAGACAATAAGAAAAAGATTAATAAAAGAAGAAAAGGAAGAAAATATAAGAGAAAGGAAAGGGTCAAAAAGAGGCAAGAATTAGAAAGCAATAAGAAAAAGAAAGAAAGAAGAAAAAGAAGAAAAAAGAAGAAAAAAGAAGACAGAATTGAGACAAGAATGAAAAAGAGCATGTGACAGAAAAGAAGATGGTGATAGGTAGGGTTTATTAAAAAAGGACAATGAAATAGGATGAGGAAACTAGGAGGAGAAAGAAGAAAATTAAAAGAAAGAAAGAAAGAAAGAAAGAAAGAAAGAATATGGAAGAAAGGCGAAGAAAGAGATGGGAAGACGGAAAGAGAAAGAGACAATTAAAAGGAGAAGAATGAAACAAGAAGAAGAAAAAGAAGTAATAATAATAATAATAATAATCAGAAGAAAAAGAAAACGGGACCAGAATGAGAAGAGAAAGAACGTGGAGGAAGAGGAGAAATATAGAAGAAGAAGAAGAAGAAGAAAAAGAATTGAATAAAACGAAAATGAAAAAGTGATAGAAAGAGGAAAGGAGAAGAAGCAAATAGAAAGATAACAATAATGAAAAAAAAGAAGAATGAACAAGAAGAGGAAGAAAAAGAACATAGAAGAAGAAGAAGAAGAAGAAGAAGAAGAAGCAGCAGCAGCAATCAGAAACATCGGTGGTTACGTTGTGTTAGGATCAAACGCTGAAATCGAAGCTTATATTCTTCCTAAACAGGACCAATGCTTACTAGAAATTATCAAGCATGTATACTGAAAAAATTGTGGTACTCCGAAATGCAGATTCTGCGATAAATATATCAGTTATCTCCTGTGTAATTACCTCTCCAAGTTCACCACCGCAATGAGGACACATGGCACAGTAGATAAAGACGTTAGTTAAATCCAGTGACAGGACCCAAAGAGTGTGAGTGTGAAGGCGGTGGATAACTGATAACTGACATCCATTAAAACATGAATTAGAACAGTCTACCCCAATGAGCGAAATAAAGGGTTCAGTTCGACATTCCAACCACCTGAAGAAGGCCGGAGCGTACAACGGCTGAAACGTTGTAATAAATATGGCGACAAAGATGACGACAATAGTCCGAATAATGTAAATAGTGTATATAATACCACATCTCAGAAATATAGACAGATACTGAAAGGCTGAAACGTTGTAATAAATATGGCAACAAAGATGAAGACAATAGTCCGAACAATGTAAATAGTGTACATAATACGTCATCTCAGAAATATAGACAGATACTGAAGGGCCGAAACGTTGTGATAAATATGGCAACAAAGATGAGGATAATAGTCCGAATAATGTAAATAGTGTACATAATACCTCATCTCAGAAATATAGACAGATACTGAAGGGCCGAAACGTTGTGATAAATATGGCAATAAAGATGAGGACAATAGTCCGGATAATGTAAATAGTGTACATAATACCTCATCTCAGAAATATAGACAGATACTTCCCAGGTATTTAAATTGTTGTACTTGTTTGATTTTAGCATATTCAAGATTGAATTTTATTTCCTTCCAGGACGTTCTCTTTACAATAGTAACAGTTGATGCATGTGTGCAACCTTTTGACAACAGCGAGAGAAGCACATCTTGTCTTTACAAGAGAACCACATCTAGTTTTTTTTTTTTTTTTTTTTGTACAAATCTGTTCAAATATTGCAAAAAATGATGAATACTTTGCTTAGCTTTTGAAAGGCATATTTCGTTATCCCAATGAACCTTCGGATTTTGCAGTCGCATTGCGTGTCCTCTGTTGAAAGACTTCTTAGATATTTAAATGTATCTACGCGTTTGATTTTGATATCTCTGACTGGGAAGTGTTTTGATAGAGAACGGTAAATACGATGCTGAGATCCGAAGACGTATTGGAATGGCCAAGGACGCATTCTAAAAGCTGGGCAGAGTATTACGAGACAGGAGGATTCCTTTGGTAACAAAGAAAAGAGTCCTGAACTGCTACGTGATATCTGTCCTCCTTTACGGCAGCTAATGTTGGACGGTCTCCTCAAAGATGAAAAAGAGACTCGAAGCAACGGAGGTATGGTTCTACAGAAGGATGCTGAGGATTTCATGAACCAAACATAGTGAGATACCCAAAGACGCATTCTAAAAGCTGGGCAGAGTATTAAGAGACAGGAGGGCTTATTTGGCAACAAAGAAAAGAGTACTGAACTGCTACGTGACATCTGCCCTCTTTTAAGGCAGCGAATGTTGGATGGTCTCTTGTAAGATGAAGATACTTGAAGCAACGGAGTTATGATTCTACAGAAGGATGCTGAGGATATAATGGACCGAGCGTGTGAGCAACGATGAAGCCTTAGAGAGGATGGAAACAAAGCGGAAATTTATACTTCACATCAGGGAGGGGCAGCTGAAATTTCTGGGACACATAATGAGAAAGGAGGCCTTAGAGAATCTGATACACACAAGGCGAATAGAGGAAAAGAGAGACAAGGGAAAGCAACGCATGGCATACCTGGCAGGTTAAGCAAGTGGATGACAGACCATGACCTGGGGTAAGTAGAAAAAGGACAAAACTTATTGAAAGCTACGAGGTATAGGAGGAAGTGGAGAGCCATGATCGCCTCCGTCCTGAAGGGACACGGCATATAAAAGAAGAAAATATTTGCAATTAGCATATCCCGCTTTTCTGCTTGCTGACAACCATACATTCTGTCGTCTTACAATTGGCGTTTAGTCCTTCTTGCCTTCCTTCATTACCTTCTGGAGGAATTCTTGTAGTTTCCTTTCTGTGTCTATTACCAACACTGTGTCATCTGCATATCTTGTTAAGATTGTGGCCCCGTTAATGAATCCTGATGGGACATCTAATTTTTTCAGAATTTCCTCATTGGGCTTGGTGAATTTGAAACTCTTGGAACGTATTGAAGGCAAAAGAAACAGGTGAAGGCAGCGGGTCATCTACCTGACTTGTGTGAAGGTGGGAGGTACGGCAAAAGGACAACCCTTAATAAGGGTTATTAGGGGTAGGATTTTTCTAGAGAGCCATTACCGCCCATGAACAGAATCCAATTCCGATGTTCGTAACATGTAATTTAAAAGAGGGCTCAATACAAAGTAGAGCAACATTGTTTATTTTAAGATATTACATCAAAAACATGTAAAAAAACGCTACACAAATGCAATCATGTTTCGATGCGTATTAACACATCTCATCATAGAAATTGTCTACTCACCAGTTATTTCCTAACACCTGATGAGATGTCTTAATACACATCGAAACATGATTGCATTTGTGTAGCGTTTTTTTACATGTTTTTGTTGTAATATCCTAAAATACAGAATATCTATCTATCTATCTATCTATCTATCTATCTCAGTCTGTGCCAATCTATCTATCTATCTATCTATCTATCTATCTATCTATCTATCTATCTATCTATCTATCTCAGTCTGTCCCAATCTATCTATCTATCTATCTATCTATCTATCTATCTATCTATGTATATATATTTATATATATATATATATATATATATATATATATATATATATATATATATATATATATATATATTATTTTTAAAAAATATGATTCCTTCGCTACATAAGAGTTCTCATGTTTCAAAAACGAGAGCAGAAACCATCAATATAATTATTAAAATTAAATTGAATTAAAGTAACAAGCCTTGTTTCATCCTCAAGCGAAAATTTAGGAATAACCAATTTTGAAATTTACGTATCGTTATAAGTGTGTTCATTTGTTACTATGGAAACGGCTGGGGCGACCATTTTTATCCACATATCAGTCACCTTCAGGGAGAGGTCAAGCTGAGGTAGGATGGGGGTGTCTATTTCAAGCGAATTATGTCTTTCTTGTACGCGCATCGTTTATTCATTCACAGAGGAAGATAGATTTTGGTACTATCGTGTGTCGTTAAGTGTCTGAATAATTTTGTTTATTTTATTTTATTTGTTTATTTATTTTCAACGGGCTGTTCCATATATAAATGCGTCGCACTGAACTACAATTTGTTTTTTTTTTGACGACTTCATAAAGGGTTTTTCCCTTTAATGATTGGGTTAAGCTTTTTAGCCCTTTATTAAACTATGAAATTTGATTTTTTTATGCTAATTATTTAATGCGAAATTTTGTTGATGTCGGCAAAAAACCGTTAAATCATGTCTATTGTTTAATAAATTTTCATTATTTAGAAACTTAATAATGTGTAGTTTTTCATGTAGGGATAAAGGGCATGGGTCATCCCAGGTTTTACAAGTTCTTGTTCTATTTATTATTTTCCATTTTACTCTTGGTGTTTTATTCATTTCTTTTAAATGCCAAAAATATTTAGATAGAGATGTCTCATTTCTACTTCTAATATTATTGAAGGAGCTTATATATATATATATATATATATATATATATATCGAATCCATTACATTCACTTACGTGCTAATACCCTTGGGAAAGGTATGAATCCTATTCCTCTCTCTCCAGCTATGGGTAAAATAGCAGGACAGACTGGATGGTGTTGATGGTCCTGCACGAGGCCTTCACCACTATAATCAAATCTCATGTGCCGTTGTCGGGCTGTCGGTTTCCTGGAAACTGATCTGCTTGACCCTCATACGTCGAATCTCGACGGGAGAGTCGATTATATGTATATATGTATATATATATGTATACGAGATAACGATATATGTTTTATATATCAAGAAG